CCTCTTGTTTTCGAACCATGAAAGAAGCAAAAAAAAAAAAAAAAAAAGAAGAAAGGAAAAACTCAAAAAACACCAGAAGCAACAACAACAACAAAAAACAGCGGAACAAAAGCTGCCTGACTACAAAACCAAGTCGAAGCGAACGCGCGGCATCGACATCGGCACGCTTGGCGCTTGAGAGAGTTTGGCTTGGTTGGGTCGGTTGGGTTCGGGTTGGGTGGCGCTGCTGGTGGATGGTTGCGATTGACTTTGACTCCTGCTATATATATCCTGTTTGTGCAGAGATTTAGCTTTGAGCTATGGATATCGTCGGCCCTGCTTTGTATACTGCCATCGAAGCTCATCGATTCAGTCGTCGCCGAACCGAGCGAGCACCAAGCCATGAGCCGTGAGCTGTGAGCTGTGAGCTGTGAGGCGCTGGGGCATTGAGGCATTGAGTTATTGAGGTATTGGCATTCGGTTTGAGTCTGGCCGGGGCACCGCTCTCGAGTGTCGGTGTCGTGCAGCAAGCACAAGTTGTACATGCTGTCAGGGCAGCTTTTTGTTGCCGTTTTTTAATTACATCCTCGACGAGGGGTGCATCAAGCATCAAGCATACGCCGTGTATGACGCGCCTTTGGCAATCGAGCAAAATAAAGCACAAAGGCAACAACAACAACAAAAGTGCACAGAAACAAAGCAAAAGTACAAAAGTTAACATACCATGACTACAAGTTATACCTCAGACGACAACACAGTCTGCACAGGGTATACACACACACACACACACACACACGTTCCACTTGCTGATGGACTATACTTGGATTTTCTCTATGCATATATACAGTATATATATATATATCTCATCTATGTTCTTCTAATCTGTTCTCGTTAATTGATAATAAATTCTTTCTGCCGATCTTTGGCTTTATAGCTATGATGGCCCAGGGCTCTTATAGCCCCAAGGCAAGGTCACCTGCTAACAAATTTGAGCAACGTTCTCTCTGTCTCTGTCTCTCTTACCCTCTCCCTCTCTATCTCTCTCTCTCTCTCCCTCTCTATCTCTCTCTACCTCGTTGTCTCTCTCTCTCCCTCTCTCTTTCTGTTCGTGCCTCGTACCTGTCGTGGCGCGTCGCTAGTTTATTGTAAAATTCCAATAAATGCAGTTGGAGTCGTATCGTGAGTCGTCTTGCAGGCGGTGGTGGTGGCGCAAGCCCAGCAAAAGGTAAACCAAAAAATTGCACCACAGCCACACACACACACACACATACACGCGGAGGAAAACCAAAGCGAATATCGAAAAATTGGCCACGCGACAGTGGTAGAACGAGTTGCTAAAATGCAAATATTTCGCACGTTCGGCCAGCTGAACTGCAGCTATGCCCTATCATAGAATATTCTGATAAGTCGGCCTTAAAATAAAAT